AATTCGCTCGTAAACTACTGCAGAGGGATGCCACAAATGAAATTTCCGAAAACATGTTTTAACGCTCTTGCTTTCGCAGTTGCGTGCGTATGCAATTTCACGATTGCCTATGGACAGCGCCAACTCATTTTGGATGGAGACACCGTTCCGATCGGCTCCAAGACGTATGTTACTGGCGTTCGATCAACGCCCGATGGCACCAGTTTTTGCGGCGGCAGTCTCATCTCTCCGACCCACGTTCTCACCGTGTCACACTGCATGAGCCTCGACATGCGTTGGGTGGCAATTGGATCCCACTACCGCAACGGTAGTGTGGACGGAGAGCATATTCGTGTCCTATCCGTGATGAACCACCCAAACTTCTCCGAGAACTTCGATAATACGAATTACACGAATGACTTTGCAGTAATCGAGCTAGAGAAACCAAGCAAATTCAAGCCTGTGAAGCTTGCCGCACCTGACGATTCCGAGTTCAAAGCAGGGGCGTGGACTACAGCAATGGGATGGGGCTCAATTTCCGAGGTGAACGTCAGTTACTCTTTCGAGCTTCAGCGCGTGGATCTCCAGCTCGTGAGCGATGAAGTGTGTGTTGTTAATGTCTCACTTGACTCCAGTATGGTGTGCGCAGGTGGAGTTCTTAACCAGGACTCTTGTTTTGGAGACTCAGGGGGTCCTCTCATTCTAGAAGGGACAGATACAACTGAGGACATTCTAATTGGACTAGTGAGCTGGGGCATTGGTGATACGTGTGGTCGTGAAGGTTTCCCTGGTATCTACTCTCGAGTTTCCAATGGTCGACGTTGGATTGACTCCATTTTGTCTGGTAATGGAACTTGCATGGGCATCTAACTCCAGCCGTACTTTGTAGATAACGCGTATAGTGTTAAAGTTTATAACTGTGATGGTATCAAGCTTACATCTTACGACAGCTCCTCCAACCCGCAGCCAACGTAGTTGGCAGGCTCACTGTTCGACTATAGTTAAGCAGATCTGCAACAAGGCTCATTGTTCATCCTGCAGTTGCTGCCGCAGAAGACAAGCAAGGAC